CCTTAAAAATTGAAATTTTGACTACCCCATTTATTTCAAGGAACTTTATGCAGTGTTGATGCAAAAAGGTAAGCCAATGAAATTGATTTTAGACTACCCCATTTATTTCAAGGTACTTTATGCATTGGTCCGTGCTTTAAAAACATGGAAACACTATTTGTGGGCCAAAGAATTTGTAATACATTCTGATCACGAGTCCCTAAAGTTCTTAAAGGGGCAACACAAGTTGAAAAAAAGGCATGCTAAGTGGATTGAGTTTCTTGAGATCTTTTCTTATGTCATCCGATTCAAGAAAATTAAGGAAAATGTTGTTGCTGATGCACTTTCAAGAAGATACTCTCTACTATCTTCTTTTGATAAACTTCTTGGATTTGAACAAATCAAAGAATTGTACCCAAATGATATTGATTTTGGACAGATTTTTCAAGCATGTGAAAAAGGGTTTTTTGAAAAGTTTTTCATACATGAAGGATTTTTGTTCAAAGAATCAAAGCTTTGCATCCCTAACTCTTCTTTACGAGAGCTTTTGGTTAGGGAAGCACATGGGGGGCGCCTTATGGGTCATTTTGGCGTGGCAAAAACTTTGTCAATCTTGCATGAACACTTTCATTGGCCAAAAATGAAGGTCAATGTAGGCAAAGTATGTAAAAATTGTATTGTTTGCAAACAGGCAAAATCAAAAGTTCAACCTCATGGTTTATATACTCCTTTTTCTATACCAAGTGAACCATGGGTTGATCTTTCAATGGATTTTCTGTTGGGTTTGCCAAAATCTAAAGGCGGTAAAGACTCAATTTTTTTGTGGTTGTAGACAGGTTCTCTAAAATGGCTCATTTTATTGCATGCAAGCGAACTAACGATGCATCACATATTTCTTATTTGTTTTTCAAAGAAATAGTGAGGTTGCATGGCATGCGAAGAACCATTGTCTTGAATCGAAACACCAAATTTTGGAGCTACTTTTGGAAAACCTTATGGGGTAAATTGGGAACAAAAGTCTTGTTTTCAACAACTTTTCATCCCCAAACTGATGGGCATACAGAACTTGAGAATCGTACTCTTGGTACTCTATTGCAAGCAATAATTGGTAAAATGTTAAAACGTGGGAGCAATGTTTACCTCATGTTGAATTTGCTTATAACCATCATGTTCATTCTCCTACCAAGTTTTCACCATTTGAAATTATGTATGGTTATAAGCCATTTACTCCTTTGGATTTAACTCCTTTACCTGTGAGTGAACATTTGAATTTAGCTGGCACGAAGAAAGACGAATTTGTCAAACAAATCTATGAGAAGGCCAAAAGCAACATTGAAGAGCGCACAAAGAAGTATCAACAACAAGCAAACAAGAGCAAAGGAAAGGTCATATTTGAACCTGGAGAATGGGTGTGGCTTCATTTGCGAAAAACGATTTCCAACTAAACGAAAATCAAAATTGATGCCAAGGGGAGATGGACCATTCCGAATCATGCAGATACAAACTTGACTTTCTTGTTGAGTATAATGTTCATGATGTCTTCAACATTTCTGATTTGAGCCTTTTTTATGCAGATGATGATTTGAGGATATATCACATTGAAGAGAAGGGGAATGATGAGAGGTCATCCAATAACCCAAATGAGGAAGATCCATTGAGATGGAAGATTGGACCAAACACAAGGTCCAAGTCCAAGACGTTCAATGATGCTCTAAATGATTTGATAAAATCTTGTCGGAAACAATATCTCATCACTTTATCAAGTAACCAAGGAAATCTTAAAATTTTGCTCCAAATTGAAGGCCAAGATTAGTCTTAGTCTTAGTAGCCCAAATTGTGATTATTGCAACCATGAATCACTCAAAGTCCAAGAAATTCGGCCAAGTCCACACATGGCCCATGTTTTAGCCATAAATCATTCATTTCAAGTCCAGATGGACTCAAATCAGAGCCCACTTGAAGAGCAATCTTTTTCCTACATTTATAGAAGAATCCAAGCCCAAAAAGAAGATAGAAGTGACGTACAAGGATCTGCCCATTATTATGTCCAAGTTCAAATAACTCATTTCATTGAATTTGGAGTCATTTTAAAGGTTGCTAACATTATGATCATTTACTAAGAAGACATTTGAAGGTTGCTCCAATTAAAGCTTTTGAAGGAGTTACAAGGGAGATAAGTAGTTTGGCTTATATGATAACATATCATGATAAGTTAAGTTTCTTATTTAGATAGATAGTTGTGCTTATTTTCTTGTCTATAAATAGAGACTGAATATAACATTCGGAAGACACCTTTGATTTTGAATGATATTATGAGTTTTAAACTCGTTATGTTTTTTGTGAACTTTGGAACTTATCAAGTCCTAAGCTTATGGCATTCAGTACTTATCAATCAACTTGGTGTGCCCATCAGAGTTTTATTTAGGTTTTGATTAAATGGTTTGATTCACATTCCAGTGTTCTGATTTGAGGTTAATGTTTAATTTAGATTCCAGGGTTTACATTATAAATACTTTGAACGATTCTATATAAAATTGTAAAGAAGATGGAAGATTCATAGAAAATGAAGAAGATGAAGAATGCTCTTAATTAAACGAAGAAAATTAATCAGAAAAATGTTAAATGGAGAAAATTGGTAAAGAACCAAATGCCCTAAAACATGATTAAATAGACGGACGTTATTGTGAGGGATCAAATCCGTAACAAAGTATATATGCGGAATGTTTTTCTCTAATAAATGACCAAATCCATGAGAAAATGACATCTGAATGACTAAATCTGTAATTTACTTTAAAAAATACGTTTAAAATGCATTTTTAATAAACCTGTTTAACAAAAAAAAAATCGAAATTAGAAACTAAGAGATAATACATTATAAATTGCAAACCGTATATTGTGATCCATAGTTATTAAATAAAAAACATTATAAATATAAATCATATGGACGAAACATATAATTGTTTTTTTTTTAATGTTTGGAAGCAGACCCGCCAACAACCGTCCTCTCGAATCCATAGAAAACATAAATAAATTATGAATGATTCCAAAAATAAGAAATAGTTCTTAATGGGTAACCGATTGATGGGAATATTCTGTGGGTTATTCCATTAACATCTCTACGTTCCACTTCCACCCATTTTCATTACAAAAAATTTGTTAACTCGATTGTACAAACTTTTTTTTTTTTTTTTTTATGTTAAGGGGTTGTTTATTAAATATTTATCTTGTCGGTAAAAGTTAACACTTTCACTTGTCTTATCAGATAATATTCTTGAAAATTAAAACGGGTTGATGGTAAGCGTTTATCATCCTATAAGCATTTACTAGCTAGGTATAACGTCACCATCCTCACTTATCATCTAAGACTTTTAAATCCTTGCATTCTACAGGGTAAGATTTCATGTCCTTCCTATGTTCATTCGGTAAAATAATTAATCTCGTAAACGTTTATTCATTAAGTTTTTGGTAAACAACCCTAAATTCTGTAAGAATGATATCAAAATAAACCAGTTTTATTTTTAAAAACCAACTTTAAAAAATATAATTTTAGGTCTATTATAAACTATTTATATATTTAATTAAACTTGATTTAATTATGACAAAAAATAAGTAAATATCAACTAAGATTGTACAATACATTTAAAATAATATAAATAAATCTTAAATGGTGAAATAGTACCAATAATTATAACATGTTGGCAACTAAACTTCCATGAAGGCAAAATATATAGGCATTTTAACCATTTTCTACAATTCTCCATTTTCATTTTATTTTATTTTATTTCCATGAAGTTCTTCAATCATCAAAGGATATAAACAAACCCTAATCAAATTAAAAATGATCAATCATAAAATAAAACATGGATCATTTTTTTTATAAAATCCACCATAAAAAATGGATAGATTTTGATCAACAAATAGAACTCATTTCGCAAGTTTCTAAAACCCTAGCTAATCAATCATCTGTGTTGCTCAACTAACAACGTGGGTATCTTCTTCGTATCGTATCAAGGACTAACACGAATAGAAGCAGTGAAAATTCTTAAAGATTTAGGGGTCGTTTACCAAACAATTATCTGGGTTAGTGCTTACCAAGTCATATTACTTTACCGAATGAATATAGCAAGAACCAAAAATCTTATACAGTAAGAATGAATGCAATGACCGAGGTTCTTACCCGATCCTACGGTTAACACTTACCGGGTAAATTGTTGCATACAGTATCGTATTAATACACTAAAATCTTACCGGTAATTAATAAGTGATAGTGTAAAATTTTATCCAAAGTAAGTGTTTGATAAACGATGATTTAAGTTCTCAAGAGAAGCAATGAAAATGAGGATTCATATGGCATATCTTTGTATGGAGCAATATTCAACCTTGTGTTTTAAGATATGAAGCATTATTAAACTTTGTTCACATCTGAGCCACCATCACCATCCCCTTTTCTTTTGCTACGACAATTGCCTTTAGCTGTCTTTGAAGGCAACCATGAGTTTTTGCTTTTTTTCAAATAAAAACCAATTATAACATTTATATATTTTTTAATTTGATCTCATGTTAAGATCAAGTAACTACACTACAACAAAATCGGGTTTATAAAACACTCTCAAATTCTAAGCGTTATAATAGACTTCTTTATAAGACTTAATTTATAAGACCAAAAAAATAAAGTGTCTTATCTAAATGTGTTGTAATAAGTTTATATGACTTTTTTAACGTCGTAATAAGTTTTTTAGGACACTTTTAATATAAAGTGTTCTATTAGCAACTTTATAGACACTATTTGAAAAATTGTCTTAAAAAACAAGTGTCTTATAAAAAAATTGAGTTCATAGGACAATTTCTCAAAAGTGTCCTATAAAGTTGCTAATGCGACGCTTTGTATTAAAATGTCATAAAAAACTTGTTAAGACGTTCAAAAACGTCGTATAAACTTATTATAACACTTTTAGATATGATGTTTTATATTTTGGTCCTATAAATTAAGTTCAATAAAACGGTTTATTGAGACACTTAGAGATCGGGAACGTCCTATAAACTCAAATTACATCAATCAGGTATACACCAATACCAGAGTTCTTATTCCAAACCGTTAACCATCCATAAACCTACAACAAACAAACAAACAAACAAACTACCCAAATCAATCGCACATTATACAGACGCAGTATCTGTTGATTCAACCATCATCATCAATCAATGTGCATACCTTTTACAATCATTTCTATATTCAATTCATCTCTCTCAACTCTACAAATCCAAAATTTACAGATCATCAACACCCTACAGAAGCCGATTGGATGAGCTTCTGCGCGGCCGCTAGCTGTTCCATCAAGCTCACAAGACGCTCTCTATACGCGACCGCCTGATCCATGGCCTCCGCTTCAAGCTCTCCCAGCTGTGAGCAGAGACGCTCCTCCGCTTCCTCCGCCACGCGCAACCTCTCCCACGTCTTCTTCAATTCCGTTTTCATCTTCTCCTCTCTTTCCAGGCTTCTCTTCAATTCTCTCTCTAGCTCTTCGTTCCTCCTCCTTAACACCTCCTCCTTCATGTCCGTCGCCGTCGTCGTCCGCTGGTTTTGCACGGCCATTGTTGGTGCCATTAAAAGAAAGGAAGATTTAGGGATTGGTTGACTTAGAGATACGGCCTTTCCTTAATCGGTGGTTTTTTATTTATAGGCACAGAATGGTGATGTCCAGGTTCAATGTATCTGATTCAAACAGGATAAAATTACCTTTCTAGCCCTCACGATTTTTATATTCCATTTCACCTTTTTATTTTGTGGCTACAAACGATTCAAAGTGATGCCGCCTTCCTTAACGCCCTTATAACGGTTGAATAAATCTGATTTCTTTTTATTCATTGAAATTGTTATTGTTTTATGTTTTTTATCAATACTATATTATAAAGTATTAACAAAAAAAATTTCAAAATTATTTTTTATATATGAAATATTATATATTATCGCATATTACTTAAAGTTTAAAATTACAAGTAAATTAGACGTAAGTATAACTTATTAAAGCTCCATTTTTGAATTCATATAACTAACTGTAAATAAGTATAATCAAATACATGATAAATATGTAATTTTAAATTTAAAAAATCTAAAATATAATTAGGATAATAATTGAGTTTTAACAAAATCATTATCTTTATAAAAAAATTATTGTTAAGTCAAAAATAAATTACTTCACTATTTGATCTTAATTAAATTAAAGAAATTTTAAAAATTGAGAACTTTTAAATAGTTAATTTAATATTAACATCGATATATTTTTTTTTTCAAGTTTTTATGATGTCTTCAAATTTATTTTTATTCAAAAGTAGAAACATTATTTTTTTCAAAACCACATAAACTGTATTATATCAATGTATTCAAAAAATGAAACGAAACATTAAAATAAAGATGTATTTCGCTATATTATACCATGTGCAAGTATCCTTCCAGCTTATATAAAATCATTTATTCTAAGAGATTAAGTAATAATAATTTTTTAATAAAGTAATTAATTACACGTTATTATTATGTAATAATAAAATGCATTATATTATTATCATCTATGCTGTGTTAGAAAATCATTTTAGTTTTCATTTAAAAAAAAATATAAGTATTAAATAATTAAATATAAATCAATAATACATATACAATATGTCAATTTTATTTTATTTTGCTCTTTTTTAAATAATATTAGATTGAAGTTTGAAGGGTTTACGAAAATTTATATCACCTTCCAAAAATGGAAAAACCAACTTCATAGACTAACCTATTTTACAAATCTATATTTATATTAAATTTTAAATTAGACAAATTATATTAAAATGTGAGTATTATTTTTAAATTCGATATGTGTATCGACATTTTTTTCAAAAAATCATAAAACAAAATCGAAAGAGACGATAAAATGCAAAAAAAATGAGTCGGAATTGAGGAGCTCAGATGTCTACTTTATTTAATATATTATATATGGTGGTATATGGACAAGTGGCCGTCTTGTTATAATATACCGAAAACTTACATGTGGTCACAATTGAAAAAAGTTTTAGTAATAAAAACTACAAAAAATAATTGAAGGTTGGAGTTGTCCTAATTTATTTCAATAATGCTTGGAGTGGGTGATAAAGGTGGGAATTTGAAATATAAAAAAAATCATTAATAAATAACAGCGTTTGGTTTAATGCTATGAAATGTATCAGTATCATATCAGGATATGAAACAATCCTCAATAAATCGAAGAAATTAAAGTCATTTTCATCCAATATTTACATTTTCTTTTTTATTTTCTGATACTAATGCCTCCTCAAATAAAAGTATATGTATGAATATATCTATGTTCTATTTGAAATAAGTCAAATATAAATAAATAATTAGTTGTTTCTTAAATGTGTTTAGTAAGGATGCATGTGGAGATGTATACAATATGAGAAATGTATTAAGAGGAAAAAAATACAGTTTTAACAAGATTTATTGATTAAGTCAATGATTTATTGATTAACATCGAAATAAACTTTCATACATCATAATAGAGTTGAGGTTGCTCATTAAGGGGAAAAATCATTTCATGGCCCTTTTATATTCTTTCAATGTTTATCCAATAAGACATCGACACGTCATCTTATTTCTCTCTCGCGATCTAATTTTTTATTTAAACCTCTACATTTACGTAATCATTCCCTTACATTTATATAACCGTCCCTGCAATTACTATCGACTTTATATTTTTACACATGCCGAAATTTGATTAGAGGAACACCAACCACCTTAATTGATGTTATGATTTATTTCATAATGTTATGATTTATTTCATAACAACATATAACTATGCTACTGTGTGTGTTTGATTTTTATATTTCTTATCACAAAAAAATGAAAATTTATTGTTTATTTTATTAAAGTATTTGATTTGATATATAAGAAAAAAGATTGTTGAGAGAGAAGCGTGTGATATAGATGGGTGGGGTGTCCGGTGTCGGCCTCGTGTACGCATGTGATGACGGTTACCTCACCACATATTGTATTTTCCCATTATTAACTTATTAATCATTTAAATTTTCATTTTTCAAATCTTTAAACTTTTTTATTTTATTTTGTTTGACTTGTATCTTGGTCTGACTTTAAGTTAAAACTATAAGATGCCATTTATTTTTTAAGAGGTATGGAAGTATAAAGTCTAATTTCATTTTTGATTTATAAGAAGTGGTGCTTAAGTCTAAAATCTGAATTAATCAGACTATTTGTTTTTACGTCTGAAGTTTGAAACCAGAAAGGTCGGAAACTTGCATTAAATTGAGACAATTTCTCATCATATCTCAAAAAGTTTAACAAAATAAAGCATGAATCAATCATTGCATTCTAAAAGAAAATATCAAACAAATCCACATATGAAGTAAATAGTGATTCATATTCCATGAAAAAGATTAGACACCCACAAATGGTTTATCTTCATTACCCACAAGAAAACCAAAAAGACTCCATCCATGTTCGCAAAGATTCAACCCTATATTTATGAGCATATCACATATCTCAAGTTTTATAATCATATCACGGATCCTAAATGGCTATATTTGTGAGCATCACTACTCATATCTTCAAGTATCACACAAACATGGACCAACTTCAAAGATCAAGAGCAGTATAGATCGATACCTTAGAGATTTGGAAACGACCAACTTGAGCTTGAGAGGTCGAGAGCTTGAGAGATCAAAACTGTCAGATCGAGATTGTGAGGTCGAGAGCTGTGATATCCAACCACCAGAGAGATGGAAGCGGTTGTGGGTTTTTGAATGAAGCTAGAGAGAGAGAGAGAGAGAGAGCGCAGAGAAGGATCAAGAGGAATTAAGAGTTTTTTCGACCACTTAAAGTTTCAGATGTAGGTAAGGGTTTTTAAACTCTTATTTGAAAAAAAAACAAACGCTCTTAATACCAAAAGATCTGACCGAATCAGACTTTAGAGCTATTAAGAGCTAATTTTGAATAAACAAACAGGCTCTAAGTTAGTTTTTGGTATGCAGACATGATTGAACATGAATGAACATGGCATGATAAGAGGGTAAGACTAGATAAGATTGAACGGGACTGGAATGGACACAACAAGTGTCTGTCTAGTGTTTGTTACGACTAGAACTAGACATGATAGAATTAACAATTTTCTCCCAAAAGTAATTTGATGGTTATATATATATATATATATATATATATATATATATATATATATAGGTGAAGGTTCAAACGAGAATGCGAGAACATCCTTATAACATGTGATAATGCGCATGATAGGACTTGGTGGTATGCGGAAGAAGTGATCTATGACTCAGGTCGCATCAAAGGTTGTCTGTGCCTATGATTTAGCATCACATGTGATGATTTTGATGGATTATAGTATCATATCAATAACACCCTTATCACATGTGATAATACATGTGAGGGGGCTTAGTGGTGTAAGGGCGACTTGGCCCGCAACCAAGATTGCACTGAAAATCACCCATGTCTCTGATTTAGTATCACATGTGTATCATATGTGATGAAATAATAGTATCTGCGATTGTCTATAGTAAAGGGTGTTCTTGCGTTCTCGTAAAATGCAAGTGTTCTCGTTTGAACCCTTTCCTATATATATATATATATATATATATATATGTGTGTATATATATGTGTGTGTGTGTGTGTGTGTGTATAGAGGGGAGATCAAATACAAACCGCTCCCGTTTGTATAAACCCTACAAACCAATTTCATTCATCAATTTTCATAATTAAAAGTCATTATTAAAAGGAGTTATTTTAGTAAAGTAGAAAAATAAAAAAAAATAAAATTATTATTATTTTATCAAAAAAGGGTAAAACTGAAAAAAGTTTTAAATGTTTCAACCCATCGAAATATCCTTTCTCCGTATTCAATCCTCTTTCCTCGCATTAATCCTATTCAATCGCATTAATCGCATTTAAAAGTTTCAACCTATTGAAATCTCAAGATGAAACGATACGATTTTATACAACCTACAACTATCTCAATCCAAATTATTTGTATAAATTGGTAGAGGAGAGAACGAAATCATGAATATCAATATTAATGAAACAAAATTAGAGCTTTAATATATATATATATATATATATATATATATGATTTTATTATCATAATGGTTTTAACCAAAAATGTTAGGAAAATCTGGAAAATCATATATTCAACAAAAACTTTCTTTATTTTATGAGTAAATATTAGAATTAAATAAATTCCACAATAGAAATAGAGTTAACTAGAAACTATAAAAGGAGGGATATTTTAATAAATCATTAAACATAAAAATATTCTTTCATCAACAATAAAGAATGAAACATTTTGAAATCTGAATAATATGATTTCATTAGTGAAACTGGTTTCATAAATGAAATTTTTTGAAAACCGAATAACATTATTTTATTAATGAAATTGGTTTCATGGTTCCTAATCAAAATGAAAATTGATTTTTTTAATGAAGCTAGATACGGTTCAGTCAATAAAACATTTTTTTGAAAATTAAATAACATGATTTCATTAGTGAAATTGGTTTCATTAATGAAACATTTTGAAAACTATATTACATGATTTTATTAGTGAAATTAGTTTCATGTTTCCTAACCAATAGGAAATTGGTTGCATGGTT